CCTCTCGTTCAATATACAATGTAATTCAATTTAAGTGTTGTAGTTTCTGTTCTACGCATTTTTTCCTTTGTAAATCTTTATCTGATACTATGTTGCATCACGTTATATTTACATAACTAGGTATAAGCTAGGAATTGGAGGATTAAATAAAAAAAACTACAAGAAAATAAATCTTTAATAGTATATCAGCATTTTCTTTTATTTGATTTGTAAAACCTATTTACTTTCTCTTTCAGCAACAAATGTTGGCCCATGGCCTCACAAGAAGATAAATACTGTGTTAAAGTTGGCCCTTGAAAGCCATTCATGTCGCAGTCGGCTATAATTCTAACTATAATTTTCAGAATTTGTTGTGAGTTTTTCGAAATTTGCAGCAGTCACATTACAGTAATATCCACAAGATTTAATAAATTTTCCTTTATTTTGTTGATTTGTTGTGTTTTGGTTGACACGTTTTAAAGCAGACAATAAACTATTTAAGGAATTTACTATTAGTTCCCACAACTGTACACGCTTTGTTAAAGTTATTTGAGAATGTTTGTAAATATTAATAAGATATCATCAAATAATAAATGGAAGGTTTATCTTGGAAACTATGGTATTTTTCTGCGCAAAATGATTTTGAGTTGTCAACAAAAGTAACTCTTCAAGCCTTTGTGATGAGATTGATGCATACATCCCAGTGTGACAAAACAGCACAACTAATGACAAAACTATTCACAAACCTTAACAAAGCAAAATTACCTTTTCCCTGTGATGAACAATTGTTGGAAAAATGATAACTCCCATGTTCCCTTGTTTTGTATCCTATTTGCCAGCAATCTTAACACTAATTCCCAATGGATATTCATCATTTCTACTTGCCTTTTCTTTTATCTAAAACCACTTCTACTGTCTATGAATGATTCACCACACAACAATAAACATATTCCAAACTTTGACACCATCGTTTAGCCCATTGTATGTTTTGGCGATTCGCTGCTACAAACTGGCTGCGTAAGAAGGTAGATCTCCCTTAGCAATAACCTCATTACTAAGACTAATGTTCACCAGTATTCCTCCTGCAACAAACAGGTCTAGCACTACCAATTGTCTTGTCAGGCAACACATTCTTGCCAATATACTTCCATGTACATTTCTTTTCGCATCTCATTACTTCACCTAATAAAATCAAATCTTTGCAACACAAATCACTAACTTAAAACCATAAATGCAATTTAAATAGAGATGTTGCTATCTCTAATTTGCAATGCTACTTTTAAAAGCTACATTTAAAAAGTAAATTCTTAACCTGTCTGTACTAATCAAACACCACTTATAAGGGCCCAGGTGGACTAGGCAAATTTTTTTCATTTTATGGAGACATCTGTGATCTCTTCAGTGAAACAAGCACGCTCAGTAATTTTTTATCCTACCAAATTTTGTGAATCATCATCAGTTTAAAAGGCATTGTTTCCTGCTTTGGAGCAGGACAAAGTTTGTCCGGTATGACATCTGATAAGGTGTTTCGATTTTACAAGCTAGAACATCAACATCATCATTACTTGGTGATCTTACCTTTGAGAAAAGTATGTTACTAAAGTTTGTTACGCGAGTCAAACTTTTGTGCCCACCGAAGAGCACAGTGAAATAAAAATCCAAGAGCCCTCCAATTTAAACTATGTATGATCCAGATTTCTTTCAATGGTGAATAAAAAAAATTAATGACTACAGACAAAGAAAACATAGCCATTGTAGAGAGTAAGTTACCCAAGTACGTTGTTGTCTTTGAATCCTTTACAGAACTGCATTTTCTTTAATTATCCCATATTACCATATTCTTAGCTGCCACAACCACTTCTACAGAGTCTGCATGCAAAGACAACTTCCCTGGAGAGCTTTAAAAGAAGATCCAAAGAAAAGAAAAAGCAGCAGAGTTCTGCCATTAGTCACTGCCTGAGGACTCAGCCACTCAAATTGGTTCTTCTTAAATATCAAGTAGAAAATGGCATTTCCATTGTGGTTCATGTATGAGTAATATACCATTTTTGTCAATGACTAGAGTCAAGAAACCTACACGAGTCGCAGAATCTACACTAGAAGTGGCAGTTTCCAGAAACAGCAATCCTAATAGCAGCAGGAATTTTATATTTTCATAAAACAACACCTAACTCTCTCGAAACTTAATTTTTAAATCTCAAGCCCCACAGTGAGTTTTTGCCTCGGTGGCAGAGCCTGTTGGTCCTACAGCTCATTTCAATCAAAAATTAATTGCACCTAATCCACACTTTGTCATTCCCATTCCTATTACTTTGAATGTGAAATCTCACAGTCTCTTCAGTTCCATTTAAATAGTGAGCTTGCCCCAATTTCAACCCGAACAAAACTGACTATCACCAGTGACCAGTCACAAGAAGTGATGAACCACCTACATGAGAGGACGGACATGGCTTTTACTGCAAGTATCTTCTCCCGCAGCATTATTTACCTAGGCCTGTTGGGAATGTCTGAAAACACATCAAACTGTAGGAGATCAACTTATCATCGCTAGTTATTGGGGTCCTGGTTAGTGTTGTAATATGACTCCATAACCTTTCAAACTATAGAGATCAATGTATCATTGCTCGTGAATGGAGTCCTGGTTAATGTTATGAATGCCATTATATGATTTTTTAATCTTAATAAAAGACTCCATTCTTTTGCCTGTTGTCTTAACCAGCTTTCAACCACGAGTTGTTTGTTGGTGGTAGGATGGCACCAAGAGGGGGTCTCTCACCCTTTACTCGTGTTATCGGTGATAAGCTGAACTCTCTTGAGAGATATTGGCATCTGCTAAGTTCCAGTCTTGTGACATTAGCCCATGCCAATATTTTCGAAAAATGTAGTCGTTCAAAGTTTTCCTGAAGAATTTAAAATGGTCGAAAGAGCTACCCTTCAGCAAGTTGATGGATCCATGTTCAACGCCAACATCATGCCAGATTTTGTGGTTGTGGTGTCATTGTTTGGCATTCTTGCTGTTTTATTCCAGCAACAAACTCAAAAGAGTTCATTGCTAAAGGATCCAAGGTTTGGTTTTCTCAGAACACTTCTGAACGACCTTGACTTTGGTGTGTTGTCTCATCAACACAAATTGAGTTCTTCTGTTTTTTAAAACGTGCGGAAGAATCTCCGGCCATACATGGCAAGCAGTGATCAATATCACTCAGCTTGGAAGAACGGGAGTTAGTAAAGGTTTTTTATCCATTTATTGTATGTCAATTTAAGCATATTTTTCCCAGAATTTTTAACTAAACAAGTTTGAATGTTGCATTACGTTTTGCGTTACGCATTATGGCTTGTTAATTTCACACCTTAGGCAGGGCTACCACGCATGAAAGGGCACTTTGCTCCATGTTTTTGGTCGCTCTTTGCTCCAGCGGGCATATAGATTATTCCTCGTTCTTTCATCTACTGCCAGGCTTAACCAGTTTTCTTAGGTTGCGAACTCAGCCTATGTGGAGCGATCTAACTTTTGGTTGGAACGAAGTGAATCAGACTGATCTAAGACTGTATTAAATTCACGGAAAGATTGAACTGACTTTTCTTATTTTTTGTTCTTACACATCAACTTTATCTGTCGTTTTGATAGATTATTGCTATTTTAATGATGGACTCTTGCTGCTCTATACTTTTTCATAACAGCTTTGCTGAACTTGGCTACGATCAAGCTTATTTTATCTTTCAGAAATCCTCTGATAATCCTGTGTTGTTAAATATGAATGAGATAAAGGCGGTGAAGATGGTCTCTCCACCTATTCCGGGGTATTCGGTACAATTGGCTCTTGTCGTGGAATTGATTGCTAGGGAGCATTTGTCTTCTCCTGTAATTAAGTTGATGCTGAAAATTGATGGAAGACCCTTTTGGGGTAAGGAATCAATAACAACAGATTATTCACTTGTGCAGACATGAACAAAGAGTTTAAGACTGTCACTCCTTTGCCACATATTTTGATTAATTAATTTTACAGACAGAATAAGTATTGTTTTGTTTTTGTGACATCATAACTCGTTTATGTGTGATAAGTAAATAAAGATGGAGAATTTTATGTGTTTTACAAAATAACATGACACATTATTGTAAAGTAGAATTTATTGAGTTTTTGATCATTTAAGACTGTCACCCTTTTACAAAAAATTTTAATTAATTTCAGACAGAATAAGTATCATTTTGTTTTTGTGCCATCATAACTAGTTTATGTGTTATAAGTGAAAAAAGATGGTGAATTTTATGTGTTTTATAATTTAAATAACATGACACATTATTGCAAAGTAGAATTTATTGAGTTTATAATAATTTGCCCAGTATATTTGTACCAACACCTTCTTTTTATATTCAGGTCGAGATCAAGTGCTGATTGGTGTCGTCCCTAGTGTGTGACCTGTGTCCTCCAATCAAAGTCCAAAGTCTGTGTTCCCTTTGGTCATAGCCAATTGTAAGGAGAACAGGTGAATTATCTACTGCTATTATATTGTTTTGCTACACTAGTAAAAGTGAAAACAAGTGAGTGGGTCACAACCTTCCTGTAAAATTGTCTGCTTTCAATTTTTGTTTCTGAGAAACCCAAATAAACCTACCAGAATTTTGCATATCAAACTTGAAAGACTTTGTTTGACCCCATTTCCACAAACCGAGAAGAAATGTGCGAGTATTTTTGACAAACTTCGAGCCAGCTTGAGGTGTTTAGAAATGAGAACAAACACAGTCTTGAGTGTTTGATATATTTTCTCAGTCGCTACTAAAACTGACGAGAAAATAGAGAATTACAATCATAAAAATCTATGGTAATGAAGATCAGATATCCAAACACCATTATGGTCCTGACTTCCTTTGTTTTTTCAATTTATGAGTTTGAGAATTTTCTGTGAAAAGATGGCAGTTAATATGTTTGAAGACCTTGCTAAGGTTTGCTTTTATTAGTTGTTTTAAAAGTACTATTTTTGTTATTGTCTGTTTGTTGAATACATATCAATCTTTTTTGTGAAGGGACAATCTAAAGATTCTGCTGGAAGACCTTAATAATCAAAAAAAGATTCTCAAGGACAATGGGATTGATGTGGATGACAAACTTTACCAAGTACAATTTGTTGGTAGGTGTTTATTCTTAAGCTTTTATCATTCAGAGTTGAGACTACTGTCATGGTTTATGGTTTAAATGATTGGAATCCACATATATTTCTGATGCATCTGCAAATCTGTAAATTTATGTTCAGGTATATACATGTTGCAGCCATTAATAAGAAGGAGCAGAAGGAAAATAGAAGGGTTTGAGTAAAAAAGAAAAGGGAAGTCTGCTCTGCTAATAGGAACCTCTTTAGTCTACTATTCAAGGCCATTTATTTGCTAAATTAGTTGAAATAATGATGTAAGTTTGATCATCATCTCTTTTTCTAGTCATGTGGATTATTTGCTATTGCCATGAATCTATAGATGTTTCTTTTACCTAATAAGTTCAACTTCTCTCCTAAAGTTATTGTAGACTACAAGACATTGACCTTGCTCTTGGTAAAGAAGGATGAGGAAGACTTTCTTGTTGGTGGCAGGGGAGTCTCTGTGGAATTTTGTCTTATTTACAATGCAGTCAGGGTATTTGTGTTAGCAATGCAGTTCTAGCAATTAAATGTTTGCTATTAGTAATATACATGTTGTACATGTATCAGTCAATATTCCACAGATGCAAATGTTTTGTTGAAAATCATTTTTGAAGAGATTTGAAGATGTCCACAATTATGTTATTGTTGCTAGACTGTAGGTCGAACCATTAACTGTAAATTATGTTTTGAGGAATATGTAATTTTGCAGGACACTAAATGTTAGTGACTCATTTTAAGCTAAAGATAATTTTCATTAGGGCTGTAATTGCCATGATGTAGAACCAGATGAAAGTTGCTTGGACTGTTTGCAAAGCAAGGCAAACATTGGAAGGTACTTGTATAAGTATTATAATAGGTGTAATTGCGTGCGACGAAGGAAGAACGCTTCCTAATCTCCTGGGCTACCTGTGATCGCGTAGGTGTCCTGTGCACGCAAGCGAAAGCTGACCCGTGTTTTTTCGTTCGATCGGCTGGCCGTTCATCTTTTCAGCGCCATTTTGAATGATTTCACAATTTCGTTGCGCAAAGGATGCTGCCTCGTGCATCGCAGTTTGTCGGACGTTCGAGGACGTGGTTGTTCGTTGGGGAAGGTTCGAACCTTCACCAACGAACGACCACGTCCACGTCCACGTCCTCTATTGCACCTTTTAAAGCATAGCAAAGTTTCAATGAGGCAGTGTATACATGGCGCATGGACAACCAACAAAAGATTGCGTTGTTGCAATCTGCTGGAATCCTTTAACAAGTAAATCTCGTTTCATTAACAGTCAATGATGTTAGGGTACTACCTTACCAGTACTACGTGTTCTGCTTCCAAATGGTTGGAAGCCATCCCAGTGGCCTGAAAATTCAAAAAAGTTTGTCTTGTTATTTTTAATTAAACTAGTACTTATTTAAATACTAGAATAATATTATTGTTCAACTTACAACAGTATTAAAGGAGAAACACAGATATCTCAATTATATATTTTTGAAAGAGGGTACTGAGGAATAATATCACAACAGAGATTCTCCTCCCCAAAGTAATTCTTCTAGTAGACTTCTTTGATTTTGGCATAAAGGGAATAAAGGGAAGAAATCAGGGAAGGAAGTCAAAATAAATCTAGGAACATCCTAAGACCCATTAAAACTACTGAAAGCATAAGTTTCAAGCAGGAAATATTATGATTTTGGCTGAAAAAGTAAACATCTATTTTACACTATTAATGTGATCCCCTTCAAACCAACCATATACTTACAGACATAACATTTTTATGCTTACTAGTGTATAAACCAATTATCTTACCAATGTATGCTATATTCCTGGGATCACCACTGACATACTTAGGGTGATGATCAAATCTGGTGCAGCAACTGACGCAAAACAATTCTCTACTTCCATCAGCCTTTGTAGGGGCTTGCGATATTTCCTGTGCACTGATGATATTTTTGCAACCCTTTCTGACACATCTTGCAGGCAAACACCATGTTTCATCAGGATTCCAAAACCAAGCCAACTCAGAAAATCTTGTACCATCCCATACCTCCTTTTTAATGCTCCATCCGTCATTACCTCCATTTATCCAGTGTTCTTTTTCCACCCAATGGGCCGTCATCTTTTCACACATCTGTTGATCTGCAACCCATAACTTAACTTTGCTACGTAACCCAAGATAATAATACTTTATACTTCCTGCTTCTCCACAAAAGCGGCACTTTTCAGTTGCAGACTCCATAATGTCCCAGTGGTTTTTATGTGCTCCACTCAAGCAAATAAAGTATTCTTTAGCATCTTCATACCCTATATCATCAAGAAATTTTTTGGCTTGTTCCCAGTCCTTGGGCCATCTTATTTTTATTGTGTGGTCTTCTTCATCTATTTCTTTTCCTCTGCAATACATACGGCGAGCA